TACCTGCAAAATAACTAGAGGACATATTCATGCGAGTGACTCACACAGACACCAACAGCTGTGTAGAGGTAATAAAATTACTTCTTAAAGCCTAAAAAAATGCTGCTCATCTAATTATAATGTATTTATGATGTGCTTAAGCCACTAATTTTAATTTTCATGTTTCCATTCGATATGAGGACTTGGCATTGCAGAGATTAATGAAGTGTTTGAAACTCGTGTAGAAGCTAAAATGTGAGTAAGAGTCAGAAATAAACAAAACGCAAGCGGAAGCCACCAGACTGGCTTTCATCATTTAAAAGGAGGCAGATTGTTGAGATATCCACAGGCAGAAGACTCGCCCCAAAAACGCCCTTTGCTTTGCGACAGTGCGCCGCTTTTCATTTCCAATCAAACCCAGGGGCAAACGAGACCATGAAGCTGCAGGAGTTTGTTCTTATTTAAATAAATTCAACAACACAGTTATAATTGGTAACGGTGAACCATGGCACAAATTCCGGAAAGATCTGCGAGCGAGGGCTGCACTTCTAAACACAGCCCGTACGCCTTTAATGGTGAAAGTTCACAGCAGATATGAAAAACGCTTGATATGTGTGGTTAGATTTGAGTTTGCGTGGTACTGTGGGGGAACCTGACGCTCCAAAGATTCGCTGAGGTAAACCCACAAGATACCCTTGAACTGTAATAAGGGGTGAAATTGTGGCAGATTTAAGGATGTTTGTCTTTCACCAGTGCTCAGATACGGGGCCACTCAGCGTCACTCTGATGATGACCTAAGATGCAGCAGTATGACGCAGACTTCACTGGGGAGGGGTAGGTATGGTACAGTGGGGTTGAGGTGGCTGAGCTAGGACACTGACACTAGTTAAAAAACTGTTTGCTTGGTAATGCGGGTGGTATGTGGCTGTGCAGGTTAGAACTCATGTCTCTGATTGCCGGAAGGTCACTGGTTCAAATCCTAGGGTCATCAGGGTGATGTCATCATTGGGCCCCTGAGTATGGGCCGTTAACTTCCAATTGGTCTGGGGACTGGCTGACCCTGCTCCCTGAGCTGTACATTACTCTGGATAAATTTAAATGTAAGAAAAAAAATGTATGGACCCTCCCCATCATAATGACTACGTGTCAGATGGTTGGAGTGCTACCTGAGATTTTGGGCCTGAAGAACCACACGCAATGCACCCCCCCCCCCCCCAGCACTCAGGATCCAAGTGTTCAGAAGGACAGCAGTTTGAAGTGTAACAGATCCGCTGGGCTGGGGGGCTGGGCAGAGGGAGGATTGACAAACCTGCAGCCGGCTTGTTATGCTGCTAACGGCTGCTTCAGACGAGAGGTGGAGCAAAGAGTTTGAGGAGCAGAAAGCGGAGCCAAATCCCACCTTACCTTCACATATCTTACATAACGGCGGCGAGGTGTAGTGCCCACTCCCATTCCAGAATGTTCCAGGGTACAGGATGCGACAGTGCAATTTACACCGCAAGACCATCCTGCAAGAGCCCCGATTCATGCGAAATCTCCATTCTGTTCTAGCATGCTAACAGATAAGGTGTGCGTTTTAAAAACACCATTTACAGATTTATTTTCAGATTGCGAAAATATTCCACATTGAGGAAAAACAAAAAGTAAATAAAGGCTTTATTTGGCGCTAGTCTCTGACACTAAACTCTTGGGTCATTCCTGAGACAGTGATAAAGCTATTTAGTTATTAAAATCACTCGTTTTTTCTGTGAGTGATATGATTATTTTTACATGTGCTTAAAATATATATTTTTTTTTTATCTTTGCATGTGTGTAACCTGGCTGATTAAGTTACTAAATTACTGAATGTTACTCTGGATAATTACAGGTACAGAAAGGTGATTAATTATTACACGACCCGATGACTGTTTGGCTAAACTGAAAGACGCCGATGGGAGTCTTTGTTAGAAGCAGGCCTGAGGGAGGGGGGCAGCCCCCCAGAGCTGACAGCTGTCCGGACTGCAGGTCGTGGGCTAATCCTAGGAGGACTCAGCCCTTCCTGTGGACCTGCCCCCCCTCGGGCAGTGACCGGCTACCCCCACACTGCTCAGATGTTCAGAGCGGCCAACAGGTTTACTATAGGGTGGGAAATAAAACCGGGGGGTATTGTAAAGGTCGAAGTCAGTCACAATGCCCCCTCCCCATCCCTCTCTGATTTCACTTTGGACCACCGGAAGTGGTCTGACCCCCCCCCCAGAACCACTGGGTACCACAGATGAAACAGGAGATCCCCCATCCGGCGAGGTTTGGTCAACACGCAGCACAAACACCATCACCGGGACAAGCCCCCACGACCCCATGACAACGATCACAGCATCATCAAGCAGTGACACTGAGCTGACGTCACCCGTCCAAAAGCTCGTCGCTCACCCAGCAGCGAACATCACAATTAAAAAACGAATAAATAGCCCGCATGAAAATCCTACATACATGCTACTCTGCAGTTAACAACACGTCACTTTTAACATCTGCAGTGGGAAGAGCAATGTGTTTGTTCTAATCTTGTCATTTTCCTGTCTCGTACACTTGCAAGAAGAAGTCCTTCTTGTGGTAAGTGATGCTGGTCGGATCACTTGAAAACTGATCGTCTAATATTGTGATATGAATAACCAAATGAAAGAGGGGGGTGCGTTTAGGGCCTCTAATTTTTAATAAGGCCTATTTATCTTGGAGACAAAGGCGCAGGGCGAATAATGTGGTCGTGCCTGGCCCCTCTCTCAGGTGATGGAGAAGGCAGAGACAGCCCCGCATAATGGCCGCCCTGTCCTTTGAACAGATGGTGGCGGGGCTGTTGCTAGGATAAGCGCTGAAGAATTCAGTTTTTAATTCCAGATTATTTGCCTCAGTGCCATGAATATCCCTGGGTTTCCTGAGGCAAGGAAAACACAAAGAAGCGCAGAGAGGCTGGAGCCAGGTCAACAGAGGCTTCTGGGAGAATGTCTGTTCAGCTGCTGAAGATCACCTGGGTTTGGGGCGAGGGCGGGGGGCCGGGGGGGCAGCTTGGCGTCGGCGGCGGGCCCTTTGATGCCTGGGACATGACGGCAGAGACTCCTGCGCCCCTCCTGCATGGGGCTTGTTGGCTTTCCTAATTAAGACAAACATATTCCTGAGGAAACACTCGCTCCCCACGTCCTCCGTTTGTGAAAACAAGCGGCTCGCTGGAGATGCACATGGTCAGCTTTGGGATCCCAGCCAAACTGGGTGTGCTGGTGGTCTCCAGACCCTCCGGGGTCCACGTTTGGTCGAACCTGATTTCTAACGCCCCCCAGATGAGCCTACGCTCAGCCTCTGAAGCACCACAGTGGCCCGAGGAACAATTCAAATTGTCAGGATGGACCAATCATTTTCATGTCGAATGCAAATTATGAGATGTTATGAGCTTCTACGTATAAGGAAAGCTGCCATTTCTTCTGACCTATGATAGATCCAAGGCACTCAAACATTAGAGAAGGAGAGAAGAGGTGAAGAATTTGCAGCGTCATCCAGTTTATCACTCGGCATCAGTAAGCAAGGCAACGTGCAAAACAAACACACACTACAGGAAGTCCCCCCCCCCCCCGGGATTTTACCACGCAGCCGGGATGGAGGCATACCCGGCCTGTAGCATGTCTGTCTGTCTTTCTCACAAGTTTGGTTCTCTAAGCGGCCATCTAGAAACCATGGTTCTCTGGCAGCGTGCCTGAAGGTATCCTCCCCGTGATAACGTAGGGCAACGGAGACATTTAACTTGAGTTTATGATTTGATACTATGCACAGCTGCGGTCAACCACTTTGGGCTTCTCCGCTGATTCTGAGTCTCGTCCTGCAGCCTGAAAATATGTGAACCCTATTAGAAACACGACGATGTCAGCCTGTTAATGACAGCTGCAAGCCATCAAAACACTTAAGTCCAGCTCCCCTCTCGCCACTTCCTGCGTTGAGGAGGGACCGGCAAGAAGGCCAGGGACCCTCCGGCGAACCGCGCTTATCTTTGCGCACGTGTGTGTGTGTGTGTGCGTGCATGGGGGCATCCAAACGTCAGGCGCCGCTGAATCTATGGGCACCCAGTGACTTTGCCTGTCTGCAGGGAAATGATGGCCGGGGGGCCGGGGGACCCCACAAACAGGCCCATGCTCTGTGCGCAGGAACGCACAGCTACATGCGATCGTTCACACAGTAATACAAGCGCAAGCATGCGGTGCGCGAAAGGGCTCATCTCCAGCGTCTCTGGACACGATTACGAAAGACTTCCCATGCGGCTTTTTGCAAGTGAAAGCGTGAGAGCACCGGGCCCTCCCGGGCTCCACCCCCCGACCGTAACCCCGCCCCCGCTCTGCACACAGCAGCCCCGCTGCCCCATGCCACAGCCCCCGCTGACTGGCTTCCCCTATTGTCTGCAGCACTGTAATCATTCCTCTGGCCCGAATCCGTGTGGGTGTGCTGGCCACTGAGCGCAAAAAAAGTTACATGGGAACAGAGTTAAGGTTGAATATTTATTAGAAAAAGCCATCTGGCGTCAGGCTGTCTGTAGGGGGGGGGGGTGTTCCTATAATAGTTCCTCTTCTCCTCTTAAACCCCCTCCCTGAATCTCCCCCCGATTCCCACCGCACTGACCTGGCCCCTTCCGTTTGCTTTCATAGCTCTTGTTATTATAATGCTGTTATATAGTTAAATCCCACACTCTGCTCTGGGGGGAACAAGATGCTTCACCGTTTCCTGCCTGTGCCAGAAGCCCTTTGTCATTGTGGGGGGATGCTCTAGGTGCGTCTGGACGGGGCATCACCTCCTCATGGAGTTTGTGAGGATCAGAGCCCATGGTGCCCATGTCTCTCCAGCCCACGGGCCTGATATCTGCACCCCCATCCCACCGGGAGCCTGGTGTATTGCTTTAGGTACACTCAGGTGACATAAGGAGTTCCATACATGCTGCTGTGGCACATTTGGCCAGGGTGCCCCCCCCCCCCCCCCGTCAATAAACAGATATGTCCCTCTTCCTCCTCCAGGGCTGTCCTGTCTAGCATCACAACAGGGACCTGGGTGCAGCTGGATCAGAGGATGACAGGAACTCAGCGTCACCCTGGGCGACCAGTGTGGGATCTGTCATCTGACTGCAAGGGAAGAGGTACACACGTGTATGTCCTTCACACATGGTGGGGACCATCCAATCATTTATCTGGGCATGACCCTAATCCCAGCTATGACAACCTTAACCCCTAATCAGCCCTAACTTTAACCATAAGTAAACAACAGTTTTGGTATTTTTACTTTTTTGATTGCATTCACATTTTTTATTAATTTGATGTAATCCAAATGGGGACCTGAAAATGTCCCCAAAAGAAAGAAAGTTTCAGGTTTTATCATACTTTGGGGTAATCTATGCGACCCCCCCCCCCACACACACACACACACCCACACACACACACACACACTGTGTTTCTTCTTTCCTCTTTCTTCCAGAATTTTGTAAAAACCAGGATATCAGATGTCCGGACCTTGGGTTAAATACTCTACACTACAGCACACTTTCACAAGAAGTTCATCAGGTTAAAGGACGGCACGCGGACATATCTGGAGGTTTCGTTCTAATTTTTAACATTTTGTAATTTTCCTGAACAGTGGGTATAACCGGACGCAGGCATGTTTATGCCAGGGAGGTAACAGTTTGCTAGATGCTTTGTTTGTTTTTCGTACATCCCGTGGCAGTCGTTGGTGAGAACTGCGGAATGCCACATGCATCCATAACTAAATAAAAACATGTATCTCCTGTACGGAGAACAGCAGCCATGGATGTTCCTCCTCCAAAAACTACTTTGCAGTTTATTTATATGGATTCTGCAGAGGCGGTTAGGAGTAAATGCTGTAATGAGAATGAATCTTTTTACTGCATTTCTCAGAGTGCAAAAACTCGCTGTTTTTGTCACCCGCCTAATTCTGGCTGATTCATCTGATAGTTTGCATATTTCAGCCTGTGAAAACACGACCTTAAATTTAACCTTAATAGCATGCGCACACTCGCATGCCCACACACACAGTTTTTATAAATGTAATCTAAAAGCATTTCAAATGTAAATGGAACCCACAATTACGAAAACTACACACATGCACAGTCACTGAGGTCCACAAAGTTCACCTTGCATATTCTAATTTACCGGCAAAAGAACTTTTTTTGTTAGAAGTAACAAAAACATGTTTTATTTTGTTTCATAAAGCCAGTTTGCTGTCTGCTGAAAAGGTGGCAGCCCAGCACATTTGCAGCGAAATGTCAACTTCATGTGCTGTGCTTGTCCGCTCGACCTGCCGTCCCCTCGCCTCACTAAGAAATGCACAGGGGGCTTCCCCCCCCCCCGCGACTCTCCCGGTCACAGATAAACCGCGGGGCCATTCACCCACCAGTGTGATGAGGAACACGGGGCAGGAATGACTAAGAAAAAAACACGAAACAGCAGAAACACACGTGAGTGGTGCTGGTGTGTTCTCGTAATCCAGTGACTGCTGCACGGACACGCCTGGATGCACGCCAAAGGTAGCAGCGGAGCGTGTTTTGGAGCGTGATCCATACTGGGGTGACATATCGCCCAGCCACGCAGAGTAATATACTGTACATGTGATGTCACTGGACACACCAGGGTGCTCCTATAGCTCACCAAGGCAACACTTGAGGACATCTGAGGAGCGTCTAAGGGGGAACATGCCAGAACCCAAACCTTTATTCCTCATCTGAACCTCTGACAGGGCCCACGCAGTCAGGATGTAGCCTGGAGCGCTGCTTCGAAAAGCCCCGTGACTTTGATCAAGATTATGTACCGAACTCTAGATAAAAATCATGAAGGTCACATTTCGTTTCATTTTGGATGAAGCGTGATTGCAGCATCATGTTCACTTCTGCAAACAAAGCAACATTAACATTTATATTCTACTTATGAGCGTCTCTTGCACTGTGACTGACGACATTGCAATTTCCTCTCTGTGTATGACCCATGGATAATACACCAGAAGATGACAATGAAGATACTTGACATTGACTTTTGATCAATGATCCTCTTCCTCTTTGGTAATCAAGACACATGGGTCTTCACAATTAACTTTAAAATATGGTAAATGGTTAAATGTTAAACTGTTGATGAAACCACAAGTACTGACCTCATTAGACAAGCGACTGACAAACACTAGGGAATATTGGATGGGTTGGGGTCTCGTTTTGCTTCAATTCTGAGGGTGCAGAGACCTCAGTCTCTAGTCTCCCTCAGAGAATAAGTCTGTTGGAGAGATACAGCCAGAAAACAGGCTTCACCTTATTGGACAGAAACATCACAATTGGCCACAGCCTCCTCCTCCCCGTCGATTAATCTCAACCTAATAAAGCAACAAGTGTATCTTTACTTTGAAACAACTACATTTACTAAAAGCAAATTACTAAAAGCAATTTTTTTCTGCCATTTGTAAACACTCATTTGGGGAACAGCAGCAAAATTTATCTTAAATAAATTTCATTTAATAAAGTACATCCTTTTAGAAAAATGGCTGAACTGAATAAATTAGCTGTTAATATTTATGAAACATCCTCTGTAGTAAGTGCACAGCATGCATTTAAATTACTAGGAAATAAAACAAACCTAAATTTTCATTACTGCTCAGAAATGGAGAAGGCGCAGCTGCATGAAGGCAGGAATTCACGCAAACTTTGCCAAAATGCCAAACCCGTGAAAAATGACACCAATTAAAGCACATATTATAATAAGCACATTTTTATACCCTGGATCAAATGGGGTTGCTCTCTCTTTTAAGTGTAATAAAACTGAAAGTCTGCTGTCAAAGACAGACCGGTGATGGCATTCTGATGCGATTTCTCCAACAATATCTCCAGTGCTCAAAGACGACAACAGGAAGCAGAGTAGCCGTGGGCGAGAGTCCCCTCATTTGAGCACAAAAAGGATGACATCACACTTTTGGGACAGAGACTGACGTTTTTGATTACATGCCACAAAGAAATATGTTGCACAGATTACAGTGTTTATACATTTTATATCAGCTACACCCCCGCATCCCTCAACACTGTATGCAAATATTCCACTGATTAATCTGAAAATGGCCTTTACCCCTCTCCCCCCCATATGGGTCATTTCACACCAGCAGGGTCTTAAATGCAGCCATCCAGTCTGAAAGCACCAGCTGCGTCCCGCCTCCAGGAACACGCCAGCAGTACCGTGACTACATGGGAAAGATCGGGATTCCGGAGATCTCCGGCTCTGACTGGCTGCGCGGATCACCGGGCGCCCGTCCGCCATTAGTGTCCAAGCCAGCTTGCAGAGACACCCCAGCAAGCTGACAGATTCGTGAGAACTGCCCCCCCCCCCCCCCCATGACGCCCACATCACTTATCAGACGCACAGTCCCTGGAATGTTTGCGCCGTCAACCTCAATCCCATCTGGGGGGGGGGGCTACAGAGTCACTGCTAATTTATGTTGTTTCCAAGACGAGCCGGGGCCCGGCGTCGTGGGGACCAATCAATCAGGAATTTCCAAGGGGATTCGATCGTCGGATTGAGGGGCGGTGGTGGGGGGGGGGGGGCAGCGTTCCAAGATGTTGTGCGGCCTTAAATCTTTCCACATCAACAATGTTAACAATCACCAGAGAAAAAAAGAGATTAAAAAGCAGAGAAAATGAGTGCTGTCATACGTGCAGGCTGGCCAAGCGCCGCAGTCATCGTCGCATGGACTGACGCCAGCGATGCATGCCCTACACACAGCAACATAGCAGAGGGCTTCCTCAGCAATAGTGGGACTCTGATCCTACTTCGAGGTAAGATGCTTCTAATGCAGGCATATTCTTCATTTTGTGTATTTATGTTTTTACTAGAGGTGAAGCACATCGAGTCTTTTATGTTGTTTTATTTCTCTCTTTCATTCATTTGATTTTTTGAAATAAACATAGCAGTTCACAGGCGTCGGGAATAATCAGGGTTATCCAGTGAGATATGAAGTCAATGCAGTTTCCTGTGAAATAATACCTTTTCCCCACAGTTTGACATTTGAGATAAAGGTAAATAAGACCACAGAGCATCGCTGCGATGTGAAAGTGCAGGTAGAGAGCCCATCTGATTAACCCTCATCCAGCTCCACAGAGGAACTCACCCTGATAACCGAACGTCCTTTTCAGCCGCGGCTGTTTTCTCAGGCCTTCGGTATAAATGATAACACAAAGGATCGGACCGTCTGCAGGGGCCTGAGGACAACCGGGGAATCGATGACAGAGGGCTGTCCTTGGGTCTGGCGGCGGCCTGCTCACTGACGTCAACCCGCCTCTGTCTCCACAGTGACGGCCCTCTGACTTGTTTTCATCTGTTTCTAACCAGCGTGGTGGACCAGAGCGGCGGCGCCAGAGATCCGTCCCGGCGTGGACTATTTAGGGGCCCGGCCCCTGGCTCATCACCCTGGAGCGCCCCTTTGATCCACCCGGCTTTGTCTCGCGGGGACCCGCCCACCTTAACTGCGAGCTCTGCCGCGCGGCGTCAGCACCACGGCAAACGGGACTGCCGCGTATGGTGGCCTCGCCCTGTGGCCAAAAATTAATGCCATGTGTGTGAGATGCGTAACCCCAGGCTTTCTGAGGAGGTACTGTGACGCCGCAGCACGCACTCCACCCCCTGGCATGAGACTCGACTGTCATAATGTTGGAGGGACTTGCCTGAGGTTTCCAAACTGGGAGGAAACGCAGAGGAGCGCCAGCTGCCGTCACCCGAAGCCGCGATGGAGGCATGACGATCATGCATGTATATTTCATCTTTTCATGTGCATATTTGGGGGGGGGGGGGGGGGGGGTGAGGATGGTTTATCTTCCCTACAACTGCTGTAAAGCTAGCCCCTCCCACATCCCCAACAGCTGCTGAACCCCCCCCCCGTGACTCCTGCTTTAGCTCCACCCCCTATTCCTGCATTAACTCTGCCCCCGATTCCTGCTGTAACACTGCCCCAGACTCCTACTTTCACTCCGCCCCGATTCCTGCTGTAACTCTGCCCCTAAAGGCTGGTCCATACTTCTCCTCACACATACTAGCGGACGCATCCGCTTGAACGTACGAACGCCTGCTGCAATGCAAATTTGTGTTCACACAGCAGTGTACACGTAGCTCTGGGCACACTGCACATGCATCCACTTTAAATACCAACATGAATGCTTTTCAGAAGCGTTGGGGTAGTTTGCAAACCCTACAGACTGTTTCCAAGATAATAAAACTCTTACATACATGTAAATGCGTGTGTATGTGAGTGCAGACTTGTCTCACATTGAAAATCTCACGCCAGCCAGCTGACCAAAGTTGGCATCCCTGTCAGCCGGCTCTTTGAATTTGTTAAACATAGAAAAACAGACACAAACCTCACTGCTGTGGTAAGTGTGCAGGGGATATCAGAATAATAATTGATATTATTATTATTGATATAAAATACAACACGTTGTGTGCATGTGAAAAGTATGTGGCTTGACCAGAGAACTATGAACGTTTCCGTGTACGCATACGCAAAGTGGATATGCGATGGTGTGCTTGTTTGGACAAGTATGAAACAGTCTTAACTCCTGCTTTAACTCCACCTCTAAACAACTGATTTGCCCAGACAGTAACTTCCATAATGCAATCAAGGCCTCATAACAGTA